GTCAAAAGATACAAGAGTCAGGCATCTGGCTGGTAAAATTGTGGGGCATGAGACTCATGATCTCAGGGTTGTAAGTTCAAGCCCTACATTGAGTGTAGATATTACTTAAAAATACAATCTTAAAAAAAAAAGATACAAGGGCTAATATACAAAAATCAATTATGTTTCTATGTACTAGCAATGAACAATAAATACCATTTATAATAACATCAAAAATATTAAATACTTAGGAAAAAATTTCACAAAAAAATGTGTTATAATCTACACGATGAAAACTATAACACATTGCTAGAAGATATTAAGGAAAGCCTATTAAATGAAGAGAAACACTAATTATGGATTGGAAGATTCAATATTCTTTGTAAATATGTCAGTTATCCCCAAATTTAATCTATATATTCAACACACTTTCATTCAAAATTCCAGCATACTTTTTCTGTAGAAATTATCAAGCTGATTTTAAAGCTTACATGGAAATGCAAATAAGTGAGATTAGCCAAAATAATTTTGAAAAACATAAATGACAAATGGAGGAATTGTATTACCTGATTTTAAGACTTAATATAAAGATACAGTAATCAAGATACCACAGTGTGGTATTCGTGAAAATACAGACATAAAGATCAATGGAACAGAACAAAGTCCAGAAATAGATTCACAGATATAAACTGATTTTTTTTAAATGTTTATTTATTTTTGAGAGAAAGAGAGACAGCATAAGCCAGGGATGGGCAGAGAGAGAGAGAGAGAGAGAGAGAGAGAGAGAGAGAGAGAGAAATCCCCAGCAGGCTCCACACTATCAGTGCAGAGACTGATGTGGGGCTCAAACTCATGAACTGCAAGATCATTCATGACTTGAGCAAAAACCAACAGTCACACACTTAACTGACTGAGCCACCCAGATGCCCCTGTAAATTGATTTTTTAAAACAAAGGTGTTGGGGCACCTGGGTGGCTCAGTCGGTTGAGCGACTGACTTCGGCTCAGGTCATTATCTCACTGTTTGTGAGTTCGAGCCCCGTGTCAGGCTCTGTGCTGACAGCTAGGAGCCTGGAGCCTGCTTTGGATTCTGTGTCTCCCTCTCTCTCTGCCCCTTCCCCACTCATGCTCTGTCTCTCTTTGTCTCAGAAATAAATAAACATTAAAACACATTTTTTTAAATAAAAAAATAAAGCAAAGGTGTTAAAGTGATTTATAGGAAAAAGATAGCCTTTTCAACAAATAATACTGGAAAAACTGGATATCCATATAGAAAAAATATATCTCAACCCTTAGTTTATGCCATACATAAGTCAACTTGAAATGGACTTTATGTAAATGTAAAAACTAAAACTATGAAAGGCCTAGAAGAAACAAAGGAGAAAAACCTGTGACCTAGGGGTAGGCAAAGATTTCTACCTAGGACCAAAAATACCCCTGAACTTTCAAAGAAAAAAAAATGATAAACTGAACTTTATCAAATTTAAAACCTATTTTTCAAAAGACACCATTAAGACAACGAAAAGGCAAAGCACAGACTGGAAGAAAATATTCCCAGTATATATCTGATAAAGGACTGGTATCCATAATACACAGAGAGATCTTACAGTTCTCTAAGATAAAAAGCACAGTTAAAAATGGGGTAGATAATATCTGAAGACATAATTCACAAAGCTTTATCAGTGGTCAATATACGTATGAAAACATGCTTAATATCCTAGGTCAACAGGGAAATGTAAACTAAAGCTACGAGATAGTTCTGTACACCCATCAAGGCGGCTGAAATTAAAAAGACTGACAATAGCAAGTGCTGATGAGTCTGTGGAGCAATTTTTACCCGTTACATTGCTGAAGCAAAATGGTACAACCACTTGAGAAAACTCTGAAACAGGAAACTGGTTAAACACACTTTTACTATACACACACACACACACACACACACACACACACACACACACGCCCTACACTGGATGAAATGACTTGATGTTCTTACAAGTATGGGCCTATAATTGAAT